AAAAAAAAAAAAAAAAAAAAAAAAAAAAAAAAAAAAAAAAAAAAAAAAAAAAAAAAAAAAAAAAAAAAAAAAAAAAAAAAAAAAAAAAAAAAAAAAAAAAAAAAAAAAAAAAAAAAAAAAAAAAAAAAAAAAAAAAAAAAAAAAAAAAAAAAAAAAAAAAAAAAAAAAAAAAAAAAAAAAAAAAAAAAAAAAAAAAAAAAAAAAAAAAAAAAAAAAAAAAAAAAAAAAAAAAAAAAAAAAAAAAAAAAAAAAAAAAAAAAAAAAAAAAAAAAAAAAAAAAAAAAAAAAAAAAAAAAAAAAAAAAAAAAAAAAAAAAAAAAAAAAAAAAAAAAAAAAAAAAAAAAAAAAAAAAAAAAAAAAAAAAAAAAAAAAAAAAAAAAAAAAAAAAAAAAAAAAAAAAAAAAAAAAAAAAAAAAAAAAAAAAAAAAAAAAAAAAAAAAAAAAAAAAAAAAAAAAAAAAAAAAAAAAAAAAAAAAAAAAAAAAAAAAAAAAAAAAAAAAAAAAAAAAAAAAAAAAAAAAAAAAAAAAAAAAAAAAAAAAAAAAAAAAAAAAAAAAAAAAAAAAAAAAAAAAAAAAAAAAAAAAAAAAAAAAAAAAAAAAAAAAAAAAAAAAAAAAAAAAAAAAAAAAAAAAAAAAAAAAAAAAAAAAAAAAAAAAAAAAAAAAAAAAAAAAAAAAAAAAAAAAAAAAAAAAAAAAAAAAAAAAAAAAAAAAAAAAAAAAAAAAAAAAAAAAAAAAAAAAAAAAAAAAAAAAAAAAAAAAAAAAAAAAAAAAAAAAAAAAAAAAAAAAAAAAAAAAAAAAAAAAAAAAAAAAAAAAAAAAAAAAAAAAAAAAAAAAAAAAAAAAAAAAAAAAAAAAAAAAAAAAAAAAAAAAAAAAAAAAAAAAAAAAAAAAAAAAAAAAAAAAAAAAAAAAAAAAAAAAAAAAAAAAAAAAAAAAAAAAAAAAAAAAAAAAAAAAAAAAAAAAAAAAAAAAAAAAAAAAAAAAAAAAAAAAAAAAAAAAAAAAAAAAAAAAAAAAAAAAAAAAAAAAAAAAAAAAAAAAAAAAAAAAAAAAAAAAAAAAAAAAAAAAAAAAAAAAAAAAAAAAAAAAAAAAAAAAAAAAAAAAAAAAAAAAAAAAAAAAAAAAAAAAAAAAAAAAAAAAAAAAAAAAAAAAAAAAAAAAAAAAAAAAAAAAAAAAAAAAAAAAAAAAAAAAAAAAAAAAAAAAAAAAAAAAAAAAAAAAAAAAAAAAAAAAAAAAAAAAAAAAAAAAAAAAAAAAAAAAAAAAAAAAAAAAAAAAAAAAAAAAAAAAAAAAAAAAAAAAAAAAAAAAAAAAAAAAAAAAAAAAAAAAAAAAAAAAAAAAAAAAAAAAAAAAAAAAAAAAAAAAAAAAAAAAAAAAAAAAAAAAAAAAAAAAAAAAAAAAAAAAAAAAAAAAAAAAAAAAAAAAAAAAAAAAAAAAAAAAAAAAAAAAAAAAAAAAAAAAAAAAAAAAAAAAAAAAAAAAAAAAAAAAAAAAAAAAAAAAAAAAAAAAAAAAAAAAAAAAAAAAAAAAAAAAAAAAAAAAAAAAAAAAAAAAAAAAAAAAAAAAAAAAAAAAAAAAAAAAAAAAAAAAAAAAAAAAAAAAAAAAAAAAAAAAAAAAAAAAAAAAAAAAAAAAAAAAAAAAAAAAAAAAAAAAAAAAAAAAAAAAAAAAAAAAAAAAAAAAAAAAAAAAAAAAAAAAAAAAAAAAAAAAAAAAAAAAAAAAAAAAAAAAAAAAAAAAAAAAAAAAAAAAAAAAAAAAAAAAAAAAAAAAAAAAAAAAAAAAAAAAAAAAAAAAAAAAAAAAAAAAAAAAAAAAAAAAAAAAAAAAAAAAAAAAAAAAAAAAAAAAAAAAAAAAAAAAAAAAAAAAAAAAAAAAAAAAAAAAAAAAAAAAAAAAAAAAAAAAAAAAAAAAAAAAAAAAAAAAAAAAAAAAAAAAAAAAAAAAAAAAAAAAAAAAAAAAAAAAAAAAAAAAAAAAAAAAAAAAAAAAAAAAAAAAAAAAAAAAAAAAAAAAAAAAAAAAAAAAAAAAAAAAAAAAAAAAAAAAAAAAAAAAAAAAAAAAAAAAAAAAAAAAAAAAAAAAAAAAAAAAAAAAAAAAAAAAAAAAAAAAAAAAAAAAAAAAAAAAAAAAAAAAAAAAAAAAAAAAAAAAAAAAAAAAAAAAAAAAAAAAAAAAAAAAAAAAAAAAAAAAAAAAAAAAAAAAAAAAAAAAAAAAAAAAAAAAAAAAAAAAAAAAAAAAAAAAAAAAAAAAAAAAAAAAAAAAAAAAAAAAAAAAAAAAAAAAAAAAAAAAAAAAAAAAAAAAAAAAAAAAAAAAAAAAAAAAAAAAAAAAAAAAAAAAAAAAAAAAAAAAAAAAAAAAAAAAAAAAAAAAAAAAAAAAAAAAAAAAAAAAAAAAAAAAAAAAAAAAAAAAAAAAAAAAAAAAAAAAAAAAAAAAAAAAAAAAAAAAAAAAAAAAAAAAAAAAAAAAAAAAAAAAAAAAAAAAAAAAAAAAAAAAAAAAAAAAAAAAAAAAAAAAAAAAAAAAAAAAAAAAAAAAAAAAAAAAAAAAAAAAAAAAAAAAAAAAAAAAAAAAAAAAAAAAAAAAAAAAAAAAAAAAAAAAAAAAAAAAAAAAAAAAAAAAAAAAAAAAAAAAAAAAAAAAAAAAAAAAAAAAAAAAAAAAAAAAAAAAAAAAAAAAAAAAAAAAAAAAAAAAAAAAAAAAAAAAAAAAAAAAAAAAAAAAAAAAAAAAAAAAAAAAAAAAAAAAAAAAAAAAAAAAAAAAAAAAAAAAAAAAAAAAAAAAAAAAAAAAAAAAAAAAAAAAAAAAAAAAAAAAAAAAAAAAAAAAAAAAAAAAAAAAAAAAAAAAAAAAAAAAAAAAAAAAAAAAAAAAAAAAAAAAAAAAAAAAAAAAAAAAAAAAAAAAAAAAAAAAAAAAAAAAAAAAAAAAAAAAAAAAAAAAAAAAAAAAAAAAAAAAAAAAAAAAAAAAAAAAAAAAAAAAAAAAAAAAAAAAAAAAAAAAAAAAAAAAAAAAAAAAAAAAAAAAAAAAAAAAAAAAAAAAAAAAAAAAAAAAAAAAAAAAAAAAAAAAAAAAAAAAAAAAAAAAAAAAAAAAAAAAAAAAAAAAAAAAAAAAAAAAAAAAAAAAAAAAAAAAAAAAAAAAAAAAAAAAAAAAAAAAAAAAAAAAAAAAAAAAAAAAAAAAAAAAAAAAAAAAAAAAAAAAAAAAAAAAAAAAAAAAAAAAAAAAAAAAAAAAAAAAAAAAAAAAAAAAAAAAAAAAAAAAAAAAAAAAAAAAAAAAAAAAAAAAAAAAAAAAAAAAAAAAAAAAAAAAAAAAAAAAAAAAAAAAAAAAAAAAAAAAAAAACAAAAAAAAAAAAAAAAAAAAAAAAAAAAAAAAAAAAAAAAAAAAAAAAAAAAAAAAAAAAAAAAAAAAAAAAAAAAAAAAAAAAAAAAAAAAAAAAAAAAAAAAAAAAAAAAAAAAAAAAAAAAAAAAAAAAAAAAAAAAAAAAAAAAAAAAAAAAAAAAAAAAAAAAAAAAAAAAAAAAAAAAAAAAAAAAAAAAAAAAAAAAAAAAAAAAAAAAAAAAAAAAAAAAAAAAAAAAAAAAAAAAAAAAAAAAAAAAAAAAAAAAAAAAAAAAAAAAAAAAAAAAAAAAAAAAAAAAAAAAAAAAAAAAAAAAAAAAAAAAAAAAAAAAAAAAAAAAAAAAAAAAAAAAAAAAAAAAAAAAAAAAAAAAAAAAAAAAAAAAAAAAAAAAAAAAAAAAAAAAAAAAAAAAAAAAAAAAAAAAAAAAAAAAAAAAAAAAAAAAAAAAAAAAAAAAAAAAAAAAAAAAAAAAAAAAAAAAAAAAAAAAAAAAAAAAAAAAAAAAAAAAAAAAAAAAAAAAAAAAAAAAAAAAAAAAAAAAAAAAAAAAAAAAAAAAAAAAAAAAAAAAAAAAAAAAAAAAAAAAAAAAAAAAAAAAAAAAAAAAAAAAAAAAAAAAAAAAAAAAAAAAAAAAAAAAAAAAAAAAAAAAAAAAAAAAAAAAAAAAAAAAAAAAAAAAAAAAAAAAAAAAAAAAAAAAAAAAAAAAAAAAAAAAAAAAAAAAAAAAAAAAAAAAAAAAAAAAAAAAAAAAAAAAAAAAAAAAAAAAAAAAAAAAAAAAAAAAAAAAAAAAAAAAAAAAAAAAAAAAAAAAAAAAAAAAAAAAAAAAAAAAAAAAAAAAAAAAAAAAAAAAAAAAAAAAAAAAAAAAAAAAAAAAAAAAAAAAAAAAAAAAAAAAAAAAAAAAAAAAAAAAAAAAAAAAAAAAAAAAAAAAAAAAAAAAAAAAAAAAAAAAAAAAAAAAAAAAAAAAAAAAAAAAAAAAAAAAAAAAAAAAAAAAAAAAAAAAAAAAAAAAAAAAAAAAAAAAAAAAAAAAAAAAAAAAAAAAACAGTGAAAAAAAAAAAATAGACAAAAAAAAAAAAAAGAATAAAAAGATAAAATAAAAGTTTCCCCCCCCCCAGCCCCGGAGTGTCAGGAATGCCAGGCGCCAAAAGTCACCGCTAACCCCCCCCCTCCCGCCCAATTCCACTGATCGCCGCCCGATCTACTAGTCAAAATTTTAAAACAAAAAATCCCAGTATAATATACTGGACCATTTGTAAATTGCTATAACTTTTAAAAACTAAAACCAATTAATTTACATGTATTGGGATTTTTTTTTTTGCAAAAGACTATCTAAGCAGAATATATTTTCCCCTAAAATTATGATGAAATTTGACTTTAATTTTTTTTTTTTTTTTTAGAAGTATTCTAATCCCTTCCCACTCATTCAAAACTAAAAAAAAAAAAAAATAAAAAAAATAAAAGAAAGGTGGGGCCTTTTAGCTTACACTTTTTTCTGGAATCTGTGCAGATTTCATTTACCCCCGAAAAAAAATAAGAATAATATTTCCCCTTTAGCATTTGACACGGAATTTTTCATTGTCTGCTGCAGAACGTAACCAAATTACTTTTACTAATCATTTAGCAATATCAGACTTGAAAATTTGTAATGCGACAAGGGCATGTTTGCTGTCACTTACCTCTTGGTGTCTGCTTTGCAGGCGTGTGTGAAAGTTAGCTCCACTCAAAGACTAGATTTTTTTTGCTGAAACCACAGCCCCACTGGCCAAATGTTTGCGGTTTTCTGATATTTTCTGTTTGCGCTTCATTCTGTGTTCTGCTTTTTTTTTTCGTTTCTTTATCTCTGCAGCTCTTCCTGGGAGAGAGGGTTGTGTCAGACAGCAGGGTCTTCTGGATATGGCTGTGAGACAGGAAAATGGGCTTTTAAAAGCAGTGTCACTCACATTTTAATCTAGTTTTTTTTGTAAAGAATAAAGATCATCCAATCCTTTTAGTAAATTTGTCCAAAAATCATAAGATAATTGGGCCTGCAAACACCTTTATAGTATAACTGGCACACTGCAAGCAAAACTGAAATCTTTGTTGTAAGCAAGTTTTAAACCCTGGCACAAGTCCTTTCTCTTATTTGCTCCCTTTTGGTCTGTTACAAATACCTGGTGATCTTTCTGCCACAATAAGTCAGAGGGCTGATAAAATTACATAGAGGAACAAATTAAAGTTATCAGCTTTACCCAATTTACCTCTGAACTACAGAAATTCCCTGGCCCCCCGCCATGTTATGGGAACGAGGAGAAAGAGTCATGTCTTCCTAGGGTGAAAAAAGCTGAAACCTCTTATTCTACAAAAGTTCTGTTCAATGTGTTACTAGCAGGATGACACTCAGGAAAAAAAAGCATTGGAAAAAAAAAGCAACTACAAAAAATCCATTGGTGCAGCCGCAAGTCATCGACATGGATTATCCTATGAAAAGAGATCATGCCAGTAAACCTTGCTTATTTGGACCTACCTGTAAATGCAACCTTTTCTAGGGAGTTCTGTCTGTGATTGACACAGGATGGAGTGTTATTAGACAAATCTGATTATTTTCAGCCTACCCTCACGTTGACTGCACTCCCAATCAAGAAAAACCTTATTAGGACAGGTGGAAGCATTTTATCCCCCTCCAAACTCCCAGCAAGACTCAGTTTCGAAAGCAAGCATTAAATAAGCAAACTTAAAGGATGTGATTATGAAATAGAACTGTATTGAATGTACAGACATACAGAGAAAGGATTTTAAAAAGGCATACTCTTTGCACTCTATTTGGTGCTTTTTATGTAAACATACGTACAGAAAGATCAGCATTCTATAGATATGGGATATCTCAAAGACCCTTTAACATGCCAGGGCCATACAATCACGTATAAGCGGGCGCCACAGGCCGTGAAGAAAGAAATCAGGTTGGCACCTTGCACAATCGGAGTTTTGCTGGGAGTGATTTGGCATATTTTTACCCCATTTAGTGTCTGTCTTTATGTTTGGCAGTGTTTAATCAAAACTGAATCTTGAACGTTCGCTGCATATATCAGACCACAAAAATTTATGTGTTTGTATCAAGGAAATTAATTTTTTGGCTTTGTGGTTTAAGATATCTTAACAAAAAAAAGAAAAGAACACGGTCTCATGCCCATAAAACCTGGAGCAATAGTTAACTAGTCAGGGAGTCGAAAAAACACCCAACTGTTTAGGCCCTCCTTGCTGACTCAAAATACCAGATATGTAAAGCTCGATTATAAAATGTCGAACTACTAGCTAACAAGCATTGACAAAAAATAAATCCCCCTCTCAAAAATCCCCCGATCATCTCCACAATCCCTAGGTTAGACCTGTTCTGTAAAGTCCTGACATTTAACCATTCATATTCCTCCCTGCTTCTTCACCAATCAGACTCCTCCAAAATACCGGACCCCCCTTCCCTTAACCCAGCTCCACATGCACCTGTGGGCTGGGGAACAATGGGCTGTTCAATTCCCCCCCCCCTTTTGCCCACTAAATCATGGATGAACACTGATGCTCATTACTATACATCCAGGGAGGGATAGCATGGTCCGCCCTAGCTTTACACTAATACCGTGTCTGTTCAAAACTGCTGAGTGGTCACTGTGGAAAATCCCCCTTCAATTTGGCTATCTCCTGACTATGTAAAGAAACCGTTAAAATACTGAACCAGAAACTAAGCTAGAAAAATTTGTTGTTCAGTATTGGACAACAGTAGTGGCCAAAGACTTAAAGAGACGTGCTTAGTGAGGGGGGATAAACTGCATCCCTAATTTTAGGACAGTGCTGACCGACCAAAAACCAAACGATATAGTGAAAAGAAGTTAGGGATTCGGAAGGAAGTCATGGGATCCTTCTCTTCTTCTGTCCTCCTATCTCCCTCCCTCAAATTATACTCCAATCTCCTCCTTCTCCTTCTCTCTCCTCTCCCGCCTGTATGGTTACCTTCCCGTGAAAAACTTGATAGCCGCTATTCAAAAACAGCGAATGTAAGCGTCCGAAACAGATGCCCTATATCGCACCACTGATCTAGAAACTGGAATCTAAAAAATGCATAGGAATGCTGGGAGTTAAACGTTATTGATCGGATAGAAGAAAATAAACTATCGCTTCTGCGCTCTTTCGAAAAATGGTTCTCCTGTAAAATGTGTAACTTGAAAAAAACGTGGAGTGAACTAACAATCTGATCTTTCGATCTTCAATTTAATTATGCTTAGAACACAAAACACGGTAATGACGAGAGGTGACAAACCTCCACGATAAAAAACAGAATTGACCTCACCAAGACAAAAGTCGAAAAGACCCAATTAGGTACAGATTCTGTCGCTATCGTTACAGCGCAGTTAGGTAGCTCGACATAGGGATCCAAAAGATGCAGACGAGAGTATAACGGATTAAAACCCCGATAGTGGTGCTGTATCCAAACCGCATCCTATAAAACGATAGAGCGCAAAATGACCAGTCTACAAAAGCCTTCACACAGCGTTACAACCTGTCATCCAAGTTTATCTTCATAATGCTCGGTTTCCAGGTTCGTCGCCGAGCTTCGAACAAGGGTTGTCGACCAGGCTTGGTGTGGCGGCCGTAGACACGTCGTCGAACCACGCGGCCTTCGCTCTCTATTAATGCGTAGCAACTCTCATTCCTCGGTGCAAAGCAGGCTGATGCGAATAAAATCCTATTGTCCTTCAGCAGGCGGAGACAAGACCAGTCACCCTGCACAAGGAGAGAAAGCAGCAGTGACTATCACCACAAACACAAAGGTCACCTAAATTCATGTAAGAAAATGCATGGCTGTTGTGTTTCATTGTTTGCTTGGTTTTTTTTTTCTTCCAAAGTTCAACTCAAATATCAAAAAACCAGTGACCAATTTTAAAAGCAGTTACTAAAGTGCTGTAAATGAGGGTCCCACTCAATCCTCCTACCCTCAGCCTGTGAATAAATTGCAATTTTTTCCCCTCATGGAGCGAAAACTTTTTTTCTTCAAAAAGGTACCTGCTCCACCTTAGTCCTGAGGATGGCATTCTTTTGGGCTGGCCTGTCTGCAGCCTCCTGGGATAGACTCATACAAAAGTATGATAAATATAAGCCACACTCCAGAACTTAGCTCTTCTCTCTGTGTTTAATTGGTCAAAAAAAAAAAAAAAAAAAAAAAAAAAAAAAGGACTACATACACTGATGTCTCCACCCAAAACCAAGCTTCTTTGATGCATTTCACTACTGCTGGAGTGCTCACAAGGATATGAACAGTCTTCCCCTAGCCATGTGAGCAATCCAGCAGTGGCGAAATGCATTAACCACTTCCTGTCCGGACACTTTTACCCCCTTCCTGTCCAGGCCAATTTTCAGCTTTCAGCGCTATCACACTTTGAATGACATTTGCGCGGTCATGCAACACTGTAGCCATATGGATTTTTTAGCATTTTTTTGAGACAGATAAAGCTTTATTTTGGTGGTATTTATTCACTACTGGGATTTTTATTTTTTTTTTGCTATGTAAATTAAAAAGTCCAAAAATTTGGGGAAAAAAAAGTGTTTTTCTTATAAAATTATGCACATAAATAGTATTTCATCATAAATCTTGTTCAAAATTTATTCCGTTATATTTTTAGTAAAAAAAAAATAACCCAAATTAGTTTATAACCAAAAATAATAATTTTTAAACTTTTTTTATATTATTTTGTAATTCTAATTTTTTTTTACATACTGTACATACTCATGGTGACACTGTACTACTTGTGGGGGGTGATGATTTTTTTTTTTTTACACTGATTGCTTTTACACCCACAAAGGATGTAAAAGCAATCATTTCTCTTTCTCTCTGTCTGCATTCTTGCAGCCATTGAGCACTACTGATTGAGCGGTGGTTGGTCATAGCTTGTCACATGGTACAAGGCTGTTGTGAATAGCCTTGTACCATGTGACCTCTGTGATCATTCACAGATTTCACACGTAGTAAGCAATGTCACAAGTGACATCATTGCTTACTACTCTGCATGTGATCACTGATTGGCCAATCAGAGATCACATGATTGGGACCTCGTACAGAGGTCCTGTCCGACGATCGGTGTTCCACTGTGTCTGGGGGACACAGCGGGCACCGGATCGCGGTGCTGCGCGCTCCCAGGGAGCGCGCACAAGCAGGGCGCGGGGAGGCAATTTATAGACGGCCACCCGACCCTGCACTGCCACCGTCCGGCCGTTTATATACAAAAGGCCGGACAGGAGGTGGTTAAGGAAGGTTGGTTTCAGGTGGAGACTGTATGCAGTCCTTGCTTTTGACAAATTAATCACAGAAAGGGAAGCTAAGTTTTGGAGTGTGGCTTATATTTTTCATACTTTTGATTGAGAGTGGAGATGGGCTGTGGTAGGGAGCACCTGGTTTGTACATGTGGAATGAAAGGAGCAAGTCTGGAGCAAAGCCATGGGTTTGGGTATGTTCTCCTGGAATACACATCACACGTACCCAGGAGGATGCAGTCCCAATCTCACTGCATGACAGCTGGGGCTGGCAGGGAGTCATCATGAAGTCCGTTCTGGATCCAAGATGATGGTCCGGGAGATCCAAAGCCCTAAGAAGCAGTGGCTATGGGTAAGACAGCCCTGGACTTCGTTGACTGACTTGGTTCTTAGGGCTTGTTCACACAAGCGTCATACCCTGCTTTTATTCAGCATTTACTCAGCATTTTTAAAGACTCATAACTGCGCTTCAACATCTGCCATGAAAATTACTATGGCACCACACAGACACGGGAGCAGTGGTGTTAAGTTATCTCATGTTAAAGATTAAGCAGCATATTGCTTTCATGGTGCACAGACGCTTGTCACAGCTGCCTCCATTGATTTCAATGGTGATGCTAACTGCACCTTAACAGCACTTATAGCATTTATGATATAGTGAAGGATTTATAAGATGTTAGTTGGGCCTTGAGGGACAGACAGTGGAAGTTCCTGTATCTTGGAATGCACTGGGAATCAATAGAAAACCAGGACAGAGCAGCTCCAGAGACACTTCTTGTTTGTACAGAACAGCCATGTGGTAACACCATTTACAGGCAAAAGCACCAAGCCAGCATTGCTAGGTAGGAGCAGAGCTGGACCAAGCCAAGTGTCAAAACATGTAAAAATATTCAAATCCATTTTGAAGTGAATTCACAAATATGTCTGTTGTTATACCACAACCTAACCACGCCTCAAAGCAGATCATTTACTCTACATCACTTCCCCTTTAAGCACTTCACACTAGAAAAGCAACAGTTCCATGGGCATTTATCAAGCATTCTTGAAAAATTTTGAACACTTCGAAAACACATCAACACATCATAAATGCCATAGGAGCGGTAATGACCATTGCTTTGTTCTTCATAATCAACACATGTGGAAACAAGCCCTTATAGTTTCCGTAGCCGTTGATTCTTCACTTTCAAACATTCGGGTGAAGTTCTTCTTTAAGAAGGTAACGATTTATGCCAATAAACTTCCACAGAAAGCAAGAGGATTAAAGGAGAACCTGTCATGTAAGAAATATGGAGCCTGCCGCTGCTGACCTTTTTCTGAAATTACTAGCTTCCTGGCTGTCTGTGTTGTAGTATTTTATGAAACACTGACCAGGAATAAATATGCATCTTCTGTATGTCAGAACTCCTTGTTTGCATAGTTTTCCAGGTAAGTGAGTTGGATATCAACAAAAAAGATGGATTACAATGACAGCCAGGTTGCCAGATCTTTCTGAAGACATTAGCAATGACGGCCTCCATGACTTCCTTAGTACAGGCGTGTTTTAAGGCCCAGAGCAGAATTTTCCCCAAAGCTGACCTTTCTGCATGCGGGACAGAGCCCGTTCTCGTCTGTGCGTATACGATGCCAACAGAAGCGGCATATTTGATATCCACATGTGCAAGGGAAAAAGTTAATGTCATCTATCTCCAAAGGCTCCATGCAAAGAGGGCACTCCACGGGGTCTTCCTTTACGTCGGGGCTGCGCGACATCTTGACAAGATCCCAGAAACACAGGAGTAGAAATCAAAACAAAAAAAATTGTATTTTCCAGGCTGAGAATAACTTAGAGAAATTAAAATCTGTTGGATGCAGCGATCTGAAAAAGGAAAAACAAAAAAAGAAAATATTAGCTATAAATACAGGCAGGCTAGATAAAAAACACAAAATTCACAACTACATTTATTAAAAGGGAAAAAAATTAACATTTTTACAGCCCACCTCATTTGCTACTATTACCTTGTTCACACTCACCCCCAACTATTGTGTTAACTAACCAGAGTCCTTGAAAACACCCAGCACTTCCATGTGACCCTCTCCTCCTCTGAGGATGCAGTGCTCAGGATCTGAGCAGCCAATCGCCTGGTTCGAATAATATCATAAAGGGGTGGGGGAAGGGGCCTTTGCCTTGTGTAAGACACAACTTGTAAGCTTACAATCATGGATGTAGGGGCATTAGCAGATGAGGTATGATTTAAAGAGATTGACTTAAATAAGAACTGGAGAGGGAGAGAGAGGGAGAGGAGCACAGAAAAGTTTTCTGATTATCCATCAGTCTTTTTTTTTTTTTTTTTTTTTACCCATGATTAAAAAAAAAAAAACAAAAATGGACTGCTATGTATGTATGAGTGGCCGAATGTAAGCAGATGTGTGTCAGGTTACATCAACGTACATCTAATGCGGTTTAGGTTCATCGGACTGAAACACAGTAAGTTTGCATCATGGTACGCTTTTGCAGACCTAACCAGAAGTGGGCAGATATATGCGAATGCAGGTCTGCTTACATCCAGACACCCATAGGGGTCTGTTTTAACTCCATCACGCATGGAGGAAAAAAACAAGATACCGACGTTACATATTCATTTTCATTCTGGATCTTGGATCCACTGCAGAGACGGGTGTGAAAAAGGGCCCTGGTCAAGACTTCACTTCTACAAGAATAAAATGGGAGAAAATCTTCTCTGTAAAGTGACCACTGTCAGGAAGTCCCAACCTCCAGTCCATGTTTTGAGTACCGTTTCACTGAGCAGATTGCTATAGGCAACAGATCCAGATAAGTCAGTCTACTAATCACAGATGGAACTCTAGAAAAAGCTAGCTAAATATCAATTTGTGTGCAGAGAATGCACAGACATGTCTATCACTTCAACACACTAGCAAAAAAACAAAACTGAGGCTGTGAGGGGGTTATACCTGTGAGGTGGATTTCATGACTTAATGGCCAGTGCCCAATCACCTGAAGGTTGCAGCATAACCATATCATAATAGATATGAAGACCGTGTCTTAGGATGCACAAAAATAAATATTGGTCACCAGAGAGGCAAGCATAATTTCTCTTATATATTATTCGATATCTTCCTTAAACCAAACAGGGCCACTTGAAGGTGCGCTGGCAATCAGGCTGCATAAATGCTCCCTTTCAGTAGGTTTTTCCATTGGTGGGCAGTGCTTTATTGTGCATAGTGGAACAGCCTCACAGAGAGGTATTAAAGCTTCTTCCTATTTGATTAAAAATTTCAGCAAAAGACTTCCTCTGTACCAGATAAATATACACAGACCACAGACTTTCGTTTTCACAGGCCCACATGGTGGATTATTTTTAGCCCTGTGAATGGGAGAGCAGTGGCTTTTTCTACATAAGCATCTTCCCTTAGAAACCTGAGTCAGCACAATAGAGAGAGAGAGAGAGAGAGAGAGAGAGAAAGAGAGAGAGCACAGATAGACATATAGCTTAGCACCACCTTACATTCACACCAGAAGATGGTCTAAAGCTACTCAACATATGTGAAAAAAAGCAGGCATTACATACAGACAGGGGGTGGGGGGTAGGGTGGCCACAACAAAATATATTAGTAGTTACATAAAAACACTGCAAAAAATATTACAGGTTATAGAGGCAACAGAAAAAAAATATATATTAAAGATTTTTTTTAAAGCTTTTTATACAGTGGGACATAATACATTAAAGCAATGGAAAAAAAGGAGGGGGGGGGGGGGGGGTTGGAATTAAATAGGGGCAACCTACTTAATTCCAATTAATTTAAATAGGGGGTAGAGGAAAAAGGGCCACCTTAGCCAGGAGGGACCTTTTTTGCCTTATACTGAATCTCCTAACAAAGTCAGTCATAACCTTGGTACTAAACAGACAGCGATGAGATTTACGTGATCAGTGCAAAAAAAGGCATACAATACCCATGTTGTAGTAATCTATACATTTACTTATAATCTTAATAAGATTCCACAGAAAAGAATGAAAAGCCAAAAAATGTGTGAACAGAAATGAGCACTCTACAAAACCTAAACCCAGGTGCAATATGACAGACTGTAAAAACAGCTGTCCAACTTGGGGGTGTATACAGACAAAAGCAGAATCCTGTGCACCAGAGAACAGAAAAAAATGATGTACTCATCAGCCAATCTACATGAAAGTGTATTTAAACCAATGTATAATATTTGGAGTGGTGAGGGGTTGGAGGCCCTGTCAATAAATAAAAGCAGGAACCTAGTGCCTACAAATACTTCCTTTTTAGTCTCCAGGACTAAAAACCCCCCCCCAAAAATGTTGAGTGCAGCTAGGAGTTGCAGAGCTGCTCCCACTGCATGGAAAGCAATGTGAAAACTAGCGGCAGCTAGAGAAAAAGCAGGCCATGGGTAAGCTGGCCCACAGCTGTTGTACACAGGGAAACTATCCTTTGTCCATGCAATGTGTGACAAACTGTGCACCTGGCTGCCCCCCGGTTTTGGCCTGACCCATTCTAGAAGTAATGCAATGACTTTCAGCACCAAATGACGAAGATTAACAAATAGATTTAACTCATCCCTGTAACACATTTTATTTAGGATTATATTCAATAGTCCAATTACTTTTGGACCCTTGAAAAAAGGGGGGAGGGGGAAGGCTAATCTTAAGAGCTGTAATTCCTAAACCCTTCTTCCAATTTGGATGTACATACCCTCAAATTAAACCCAAGAGTGTGCACTTTCAGCCCACATACATTATAGCACTATAGCTTGAATAAGTTTTGGTAAATATCTGAAAAAAACTAAAATTGTGCCTGTGTCCAAATATATATGGACCTAACTGTACATACTCACCTAGGTGGATGCAGCATCTGTCCCCCACCAGTTCGAAGACAGTGAACTGAGCGTTCAAAGACCACTGACTGCTTGGTTCTCGGTCTTCAGTGAGCAGAGAACAGAGACTGTTAGTCACCAGCAATCTGCTCTGCCCCCTACAAGCCTACTGGAGTGCCAGGCAGTGCATTGGGCAGGAGCTGCTGGCTAAGGCTTCCAGTGGCTCACTGAGAGGCTGAGCCAGTTGCGACTCAGGAATCTGGGTGGATCCTGACTTTAAAGTCGGGATCTCACTAGAGCCTGGACTGGCTCAATAATGTCAGCCAACAGAGGGCTAAACGGTCAGCTGATGTCACTGAGCCAGTCCAGGCTGTGGAAAAATCACGACTTTAAAGTTGGGATCCACCCAGACTCCTGAGTGGCAGTTGGCTGAAAACAGGTCACAGTGGTGCAGAACAAAGTACACTCTTTTGATCCATGGGAGAAGTAGGGCCAAAAGAGTTTTCCCTCTACTTTTCCTGTAAAAATGCTGCAAAGTATAGAAAAACACCCACTGATCTGCTAGAAGTCCAGCAAGTGCCTTTCAGCTTAAGCTAAACAAAGTTTCTTCTGCACCTGAAGAACTTTGTCATTCTGGCCTAGGTCTTCCTAGTAAAGAATCTCTCCTTCCTTCTCATCTCCACAACAGAAACAGGTTATCTGTAGTCTAGAAGAGGAAACTGCAGGCATGGCTGACAACACTGCTTATGATTTCAGAACAGCAGTGTTATAAGCTTCAGAATGAGTTAGGAGTTCCATGGACCAATAGGTATTTTTTATTACTTGCAACATTTCTAAAAGAGAACAAATATGAAGAAATGTAGTGCACAGATGTACTACATATGTTTTTTTTTTTATTTAACCCTGACATAGCATTTGAAGAAACTTTAGCGAGGAGTTCTAGTGGATCGGCAAAAAAGAATTTAGGGATTTGAACATAAGCTCTTAGGATTTCGGGTTCAGCATGGATTCTCAGAGTACTTATACTATTTGCACTCTACAACAGAAGCTGTAGGAGCGATTATAGGTTAGAGGCTGGAGTGAAATTACTGCTTGTACAGTTTTATACTTTTTCCACCTGCATCAGTATGTATAACCTTGAGGCCTCCATCACCTGAAGTAGTTAACTCACAAACCGATTTGGGCCTGACTTTCTGACTTGATGGAGCCATGGCAACCAGAACTGCACTTGAGGACACTTGCTAGGCACAGAAAGAGCCTTTCAGAAAGCTGGCTCTGGCACAAAACTCCAAAACACTTAACAGTCATGCCTTCCTTTCAAACTGCACCATGGTGGGAAATTAGACAAGGATAAAATCAGGCCTAGACTACCCAAAATCTAGAAGGCAGCAATACCGATTGCGTATGTTAGTGGACTGGCGCGAGATGGGCAGGTTTGAATTTAAGGACATGTGCAGAGTTAGAGCTGCAGTATCCAATGTTACAAATACTAAGAAGTGACTTGACTTAGCATGCACCCGTGTTTTACTCATGCAAAGTATAACAAAAGGCCAACTTAAATGTCCTTCCCAGCAACAGCACAACCACCTTCCCTTGCTACCCTGCTGCTTCGAATTTACGGCTGTACTTCTGAGTATAGAGGAGCAGGTCATTCTCATTCATTCTACATAACCACAGGGCTGGTGCTTGGTGACAGGTCAATCAATGCTGTCACATGAGGATAGGGGGAGAGAGCAGTCAGACATGCGTAATCTCCAAGTGTTGACAACCAAAAAAATGGCGGAGGAAAGGATAGCAAGGATGTGAAGCTGGTGGGGCCCTGCAATGAATGTTTTTCTGCACTGGAAAAAAACAGTTCGTTCATGTCATGCAGCACCCTGGGGATGCAAGTGAATATCCTTCCAGTAGGCAGAGGTCT